TATTTAAAGAAAATATAAAACTAGAAGAAGTCTCTGCCCATTTTGTGCTGTAGTCCCATGATAGGGGATTATATCCTCCCAAAATTTCATCCATATCCTTAACTTTAATTATAGTAATAGTAGGTCCTTTCAAATCGCAACAATTATGAAATATTTCATCTGACATACAACCATTGCTACCACGTACTAATAATTTAAGATCATAAGGAAGTAATTTTGGATTATTTCCATTGTAAGTTATGGCTGGTTGATCGTAATCAATTTGACTCATTATCCAAGCTGCGTGATTGTTATTAATAAATATTGATTGGAACGGTTGATTCCTTTTTGGAGAGCGTAAAAATGGGTGTGTTGGATTGATTTGAGGTGCTAAATGAAATTTAAGTAAATCATCGTATAGATCACTTGGAAGAATGAGTTGAAATGGTATAACTTTATAATAAAAATCGCTTGAAGAAATTACTGTAAAGTTGATAAGAGGAATAAATTGTTGTAAACTTTCTTGTAATTTTTGATATGATTCCTGTGTCCAAATTTTATAATTTGGATCGAGAGGAGGTGATGTATTGGACATTCCCCATTTGAGAAGTGCATCCCAAACTTCAATTTCTGGCGTAAGTAAATTACTTTGTCCTAATAAAGTAGTTAGCAGATTTGGGTCAATGTCTGTAAAATCTTTGGCTTTGAATATTATATCTGGTGTCTTTTCAATAATATCCATACAAAATAATTGAAGATTCTTGAACGATCCCTTAAGGAATGCTGTTTGATAGATCAAAATAAAATTTTCTCGCATCCATTGTTTATGGTTAAAAAGGTGTTCAATGATGTATTCAGCTAATTCCGTGAGACAAAGCTCGTCGGTGGCGATTAGAATTTCGAGAATTATCAACATATCAATTGCTTGTAGATTAATGGTCGCACCATAAATATATCTTTGAAAAATATTTTTTTAAAATTAATGAAGAAATATTTACTCGAAAAAACCCATAATATTTATACTAACCCCAAAATAACTTCAAATGCTTCTGGTGAAATATTTGGCTTAGTAAATACAATATGATCTGATTCCTTTTTTGCCCATGTATCCGATAAAGCGTTACGAAAATAAGCAGACCGAGAACGTAAGATTACAGTATGAGCTTTGAAAGTTTTTGTGTTGTTATCAGTACCGGCAGTGATTAATACATTATATTCAATTGCCTCTTCAAGAAGATGACACAAATCCTTGGATAATGTCATTAACAATCCTGTCTTTAAGCAACTCATAATGATTTATAAGAAACAGTAAGCAGAAAGAATTCGTCGATTTAGAAGTTTGGCTATTTGAAGTGTAAGTGATCTAGTAAAGTTATCAATTTTATGAGAATGAAATTCCGGCTTTCCCTTTGCGTTACTCAAATAAAAGTCATATGCTCATAATATCAATGATTACCATTACCCCCCAAAAATGGGGTCGCCTAAACACATCGTGGTGAGAATAATAATTTTATCACTATGAACAAGTTTATTTATTTGAGCAAGTTTGATCAATGGAGATGCAAACAAAGATAAATATGCCCGATACGTACCTGTTAACTAAAAACTGATTGTAAACAACTAATTTTGAAATTTGACAACGCCCCATGTTGAAAGTCCAGTTTGGTCCAGTTCCATCTTTAAAACCCGTCACCTAAAAAATTTTCGAAAGCCATGTGATATACATGATATGCTCATGCAATAATTCTATATTCCCTCTGTTTTATATTCTCCCTATTTAGACGAGCTTTGCACCAGGGGCGATGATTATTATGGTTTCCGTGATGACGGATAAAAAAATTGTGATAAAAAATTCAAATTCGGCGAGTGGTTAAATTTATCCGATTTTAGGGTCTTTTTTTGACAAATCATTAAGTGATGTGAAAATAACAAACGAAATGCTTAACAAAAGAGGAAATAAAAATGAAATAGTTGTGCTCATCTTGAAAACACTCACTGTTTGTTGAAATGTTCGGGTATTTTGGTAGTTAAGAGTTGGTTTAGTCCTCGGACGTGAGTAATAAGTTGAGGACTTGCAAAAAAATTTTCAACTTGAGGCGATCAACCTGAGACGATTAATCGATCTTGACCCTTTTTTTGGTTTTCTTTTTGCATTGACCTTATTTTCATTTTTATTTTATTTACAT